TGTTATAATAAATAACGAAATCCCAATTGCTATAAATCAAAATATTTGTGACATTAAGAAAGTTTAAAAATTTCAATTTCTTTTCTTTTCACTAACTTATTTCTTTAAACTAACTTATCAAAATAGTACACTTATATATGCTTACTTTATTTACTTATATTGTTTAATGTTTATTTTATTTTCATTTATTTTAATTCATGCTTTAACTCCCATTCATTAATTTGTTTATTATTTTAGAAAAAATTTGAAAAACCATGAAACACATTGCTTTTTTCAATAATTTTTTCGCATATTATTAGGAATAACTTGAAAAGCTATTCATATATTCAGTAAAATTTTTTTTTTTCAAATTGTTAAATTACATTTTATTCGTTCCATTAATCTTTGATTTTTTCTTTTTCTTCCTCATAAATTATTCACTAAAGTTTTTTGCCTTGCAATATTTGAAATTTTAATAAATTTATTCCAGTAATTTTGTAATATTTTTCATTTTTCCAATGTAATTTATTCCAAAATTTCTTCTGCTTCATATTTTCCTTTTTATTATTATTATTATTATTATTCCTTTTTTTATTACGAATTCATATTAATATACTATTCATCAAATATTATTCCATTATTGTGTACCATATTTTTTTGCAAAAATAATACTGTAAAATACCGGAATGATTGGAAATAAGTGACATCAGTCCAGTAATCCAAATTTTTGCAATTTCAGGTGTTTTAGCTATCAAATCGAGACATTCATATTGGTCACCATGAATTATTGAAAATGCACATTCTTCCTGAAAAACGAAAAGAAAAATTTAATAATTACCAGTTTTTTTTTTTTTACTTCCTTTTTAATAGTAAAATATATTAGTAAACAAAAATTTTAAATCGTTATTAATTGGCAAAAAAAATAAGAAAAAAATTTTTGTATGGACAGAATGAAATCTTATTAAAATTTCAATAAAATGAACAAAAAAAAAATTCTTGGATACAAATTGACTATTTTAATTGAAATATGAAATTGAAATTTTTTTAATTTGAAATTCACTCCCTTAATATTTTATGACAAAACGACAAAATTTTCATTAACAAATAAAAGTTAAATATGATAAATGTAATGTAAATTGAAAAAAGAAAAAATTTATATTATTTGTATTAACGATAAATGTTCGCAAATTTTCATTTCTCGTAAAATTAATCGAACTTTTTTCATTTTTAACTTAAAATTCGTTAATTTTGTAAAATTCCTACTAATATCAGTGCATTACTAACATTAACCTGACATCGCAATGATAATAGTAATAATCATAATAACAGTAATAACATAATAATAATAGCAATATAACGATTGGTGATCTAACAATAATATTGATAATAATAGTAATAAAAATAATAATAATAATAATAATAATAATAATAATAATAGTAACAATTATAATTATATATTATTCTATATATATATATATATATGATAATCCGAAATGATATACTTTATATAGAGTAGAACAAATTATCATATCCAAACCTGCATATCATTTGCGTAATTTTCTGATGCACGATGTAATTCGGTATTCCTTCCAATACGTACTTCTTTGATACTTTCAATAGCTACTGAAATTGAATCACAATGATAAGAATGTTACAAGAAATTACAAAATTTTATTTATCGAAATTTCTAAGTGATAACATTTCTTATCAACTATCAATTTTACAAATTGTTTTACTTATTGTTACAACTAAATGTAATTATAGTAGATAAGTCATTAGCATTTACATGTTCATTATTATTTTATTATTATTATTATTGAGCATAAGGACTTCCTCTATTTCGAAACCATTCTTTATTCATAATTAATTAACTTTAAAGCGTTCTCTAATTATAATTAATTATCCATCATTCTCTAACTTAATGATTAAAAAAAAAAAAAAAACAAATGTGGGATTAAAAATGAGTTTCAACTAAACATTAAATAATCAAAATATAATAAATTAAAATTGGAAACTTTTAGCTTTATGAGGTTTCTTATTTGTTGGTGTCCAACGTATATGCGACAAATTTGAATCTAAGGTAAATGTTCGATGAAATTGGCGAATATTTGCTCGTAATTTGATAAATTCTGTAGCATTTTGCATCATTTGTATACAATCTGATACTGAAATTTTTGATCGAAAAATTATTTTCGTCATCTTTTACTTTTTTTTTAATTAATTTTTTTTTTGCTAATAATATTTATAATAAAATTAATAATTAGATTAGAATCAATGATAGAAATATATATTAGATGTTAAACATTTATTCGAATATACATTAGAAAAGTCATATGCTGAGTGTGATAAAATCATTAATGAGGTGAAAACGTATAATGTAATCTACTGAGATATCTCGGAAATAGTGTTGTTTGTTTACTTTACTATCATTTATTGATTTCCTTCGTGAAATCTTATTCAAATGACACAACTGATAATGATAAGAAATTATTGATATGTGCATAAAAATCCTTGGAAAGCTTTTTTTTCCCAATTAACCAAAAAAAAAAAAGAATTACTGCTATGATTATTTTAGGCGACAAAGATTATTGTAAAAATTTAATTGAAGAATGTAAAGTTAACAAACAATTACTGTTCCGATAGTTTATCCGGAAATAATCATTGTGTTGCGAAAAAAAAAAGACAGGAAATACATGCTTAACCGATTCTTTTTTTTTTTTGTTCCTAATATTTTCCTTTTTTTTTATTTGAATAATTTTTACAAATTAACCATTATCTAATTAGAATCTAATTATCTTTTTACTAATTAAAATTTACAAAAGAAAAGGTATTTCCTACCATTGCATATTTTTTTTTCATTTTTTTGCATACTGAAACTGACATATTTTGTTTGTGATGAACGATTTCGATCTTCACCTTTTATCAACGAACTACGCAATGGTGATGATTTTCTGGAATTAAAATATGAAAAAAGAAATAAAATTTAAAAACAAAAAAATTAAATTGAATAAATATTCTGTGGAATAAAAAAGAAAAGCAAAATTATTTTTTGATAAATTCTTAGCATTTTACTTCAATAATTTGAATTGCTTATTTGATTCTTTTGTTTTGTGTTATTTCTTTGGTAATTATTTTAGAACTGAATTAGTCATTTTTTTAATTTTAAATTTAAAATTTTTTTTTCGAACTATACCTGTCTTTTCATCTAAAATATTTGCTAATGTACGAATATTTTTAAATAAAAAAATGTAACAATTATTGGATAAAATTATTTTCTCAAAAATGCTTTTCTTTTTTTTCTTCATATAGCAAAATGAAAAATATCATTTTATTCATCTAAACTTTTTCACGCATCTACATAATTTTTTATATCATGAAAATTTTCAGGTGTCACATACAACGTCTCTTCCACGTCACGTAACTTTTTTTTATAACACGTCATAAAAACTTCATAAAGACATCATATTAGATTTTTTTTTTCGTTTTCAAAAATCTCACCAAACAAAAAGGCAAAAGATTAAAATTAAAAAAAAAGTGATTCAAGAAATTTTTATGAAAATTTCTTTTTTTGCATAAATTTATGCAATAATAAAAATGATTTCAAATTTCAGGCTTTTTTTTATTTCGGAATATTTTCAAATTAAAATTTTTTAATTCATAATTTTACTAACCTTGAAAAATATGGCGCTGTTGTCATGATTTGTTCATTAACAGATTGTTTTCTTCGATTACTTGTACTTATGTTATTATGTTCTGCTTCCATAACATTGAACAATCATAACTGATATGGTAAACCACCATTTTTAGATTTAAATTTGAAGTATTACTGTAATATCATGATATGCATTGAAATTATAGTAATTTCGAAGTTTTAACTCAAGCATTAAAATAGTTGATTAAATGATATAGATTATACATAAAACAGATGGCATTAATAATATGCAAATTAATAAATCGAAACAATATTAACGGTTAATAGTGGAAATGATAATGTTAGCATTACGAATTAATTGGCCCAAAGTTCATTAAAAAGAAAACTAATTACTAAATAAAAAAATTAACCATTGAATTACTAAAAACTAAAAAAATTAAAAAATTAATTACTTAAAAAAAAACAAAAACAAAATGTCAGCTAAAATATTTGCTGCTAATTGGTACTTCATATGATATAAAACATCATTTAAATTATTCATAATGAAATTTTGATTTTTGTCAAGAATATACTGAATTTCATAAATTTGAAATTTAAAATAAAAAACGATAAAAGTGGGAGCATTTGTTGCTACATATTTTGCAGTGCTATTTTTAAGTCAAATATGTAATATGATGTCGTATCTGCCAGGATTTTCAATTTTCTCATATTTAAATAAAATTCATGCTTGAATAAAAGAAAATAATTGGAATGATCAAAAATGAATTTAAAAATGTAATTAAAAATTACATTAATGTAATTAAATTACAAGGATGTAATTAAACTATGGTATAAAAACAGAAAAATTTGAAGAAATGTAGCATTATAGATTGAAATATATTATATTTAATAAATTAAATTATTTATTAATATTGCCTAATAATTTCAATGAAGTTTAAAATTTTGTCATACATTTCATTTTCTAAGAAATTTAAATATTCGAGAAAAAAAAATAGTAAGTACGAGTGAGTGGTAATATTTAATAAAAATTATCAAAAATAATTTAAAATGAAAAAATTGATTTGAAAATAATTTCAAAAAAAAAAAAGAAAAAAAGAAAACTATAGTGATAAAAGGAAAAAAAAAAAGGCCTAGGAAAATTGATGAGGCTATTAGTATTCCGTAGCTTAAATTTATTGGTAGCAATAGAAGCAAAGAGATAAAAAGTATTGCCTCAATTAGCTAATTGCGAATTGTCAGTGAAAAAAAAATGTCAATTTTTAATATTTAAAATATGAAATAAAGATTAGTAATATTTAATATCGTATAATTCAAAATTTTTTTTTTTTGTCGATGATTGAACAAAATTTTCATAATTTTATAGCAAAACACTTTTTTTTTTGTTTCAATTCTATTAACTTTCATCAAACAGAATGCATCCATTCATTTCAATTATTAATTTTCATTGAATTTTCCAAAATTTCATTGTTACAGTAATTTTTTTTTTTGTAGAAATAATTTAATAGAAATGAATGTTTTAAGATTTGGTATAAATACAAGTTTGAGATCTGCTGTATTGTTATTAATTTAATAACAATTAAATGGAATGAATGAAATTTGTATATTAGCATGGTAATTGAAAATGGAAATAAATTTTAAAAAAATACATTTCCATTGAAATAGAAATTAAAAACGTACAGATTGAAAATAGTATTATTTAAGTTTTTTTTTTTACTTTTTCAATTTGCAATTTGAGTTTTTAATTTATTCATTTTGCATGAATTATACATATATACTGAAGGAGAAAAGAAAAAGAAGAGTGATTATGTGGCTAAAATATATTTGTGTACAAATATGAGATTAGAGAAAACAGAATACAATAAGACAAAATGAGTGGATTAATGAATTCATTTTATTTAAAATAATTATTACTTAATTCGATTGAATGTTAAGTTAAAATATTTATTCATTTTTGTTCGTCATTTTTGATTAAATGTTTTGCTTAAAGAATATAATTTATCAAATAAAATTCCGTTTTTTTCTTTTTATCTGTTTTCAATTTTAACATTTCTTAAAAAAATTATTTTTTTTTAAGAAGATGAAAAATTTTCAACCATTATTATTAAACTAATTTAATTTAGCTACTAATTATTGTCGAATTTGTTTTCCAATTCCAAGGTAACATTTCAATCCTGCTATCTTTATAAATTTTAAATTCAAATTAAAGAAAAAAATTATACAAATATTTCGAAATTTTAACATCATAAGGATTTCCTCCCCATTTCAATTTTCTTCTCTGCGAAAAAAAAATTTTTTTTATTTTTTATTATTTTTTACTACTTATCTATTTTTTCATTTCTTTATTATTTTTTATTCATATAGTAAAAACAAATGATGGAGGAAAAAAAAAACGATGAATCATATAAGAAACATTAATATGCATATAATTTTTTTTTTAATTTTTAATTTATTTGAACTAAATTTATTTTAATTTAATGAAATTAAAAAAACGAAAATTTTTCAAAATCTTTTAACACTAATAACTAACGACGACAATGTGCATTTTCTTCATAGTTTATTGAAATTTTTCAAAAAAAAAAAATTGAAGAAGTTAGAAGTGGAATTGTGTTTGAATATGGGATGAAATTGAAATTGTTTGAAAACGACTCTCAATTCTGTCACTTTTTCAATCTTTTTAGTATTTTTCATTTCTTTAATTCTTTTTCGTCTTTTCCCACTTCCTCATTCTCCTCTTTTTCCGCATCTTTATTTGATCATCTTCTCAACGTCTTTTTGCGCATCTTTATTTGATCCTCGTTTTGCGCATCTTGACCTCATCGCCTTCTTGCACATCTTCACCTCATCGTCTTCTTACACACCTTGATCTCATCTGTCTTTTCCCGCACTTTACCTTATCGTCTTTTTTCCGCATCTTTAACTCGTCGTCTTTTTTCCGCATTTTTAGCTCGTTGTCTTTTTTCCGCATCTTTAACTCGTCATCTTTTTTCCGCATCTTTAGCTCGTCGTCTTTTTTGCGCATCTCTAACTTCATCATCTCGCTCATCTTTTTGCACAATTTTCCATAATTTGATTTTCGTCATTAAATAATTGCATGTATGGTTTCATTCCTTTTAAAATATTCTGTTTCTTTTTTTTTTTCATCAAGTATTTGAAGATGAAGCAAACAAATTTCATGAAGTATGCAAAAATTGTTACATTTCTTTTTTTTCTTTTTTTTTTTTTTCCTAGAATATATTTATTAACAAAAATAATTTGAATTCCTCAATTTTGTTCATTTTTTTTTATTCAAATTTTAAAATAATGCAAATTAATGAGGAGCATGATGAGCTAAAGATGACAAATAATTTCCTGAAAAAGTTAAATTACCGTTAAGAATTACTAGTGAAAATATATGCTATTTATTTTAAAAAGTTCATTAAATTCATATAAATAATTATTTATTTAATTTATATTCATATTTTATAGACTTTTTTTTTTAATTTCTATTTAAATCTAATTAAAACCTAAATAAGAGAGTATAGGAAAAAAAAAGAGAAAAGGACAAAACTTATAACTATAACCAATTATCGAAGTATTTAATTATCTATAATGAAAAAGGAGAGCATTGTAATTTTATAACATACATAAACGGTATTATTAAGAAATAATCATTATGTGTTTAATTAACATTAGCAAGAGAAAGTTAATTTATAAAAATTTTTCTCATAAATTGAAAGAAATTTTATCATTTAATTTACATCAATTATAACTGAAAAACTTTTCGTAAACCGGAAAAACAGCAAAGATTTCCTGAAAAATATGATGAAAAAAAAGAAAATTTTTTTTTTTAAATAGTGAAACTTTTAAAATTCGAATTTATGTCATAACAAATGACAAAAATGAATGATAAAAGTATAAGATTAACATTAATTTGTTTGCTCTTTTTTCTTCTCTTCCTTTTTTTTCAAAAAATTTTTTGATAAATTTTAATTATTGTTTTATGATTTCATAAAATTAATACCTAATATTGCAAAAAAAAGTATGGAAAAAACGAAATTATTCTTTCTAATCAGATTTAAAATAAATTCATTTTTTGCATATGAAGAAAATAATTTCTCTTTATGTCTCAATATAAAACAAAAAAAGAAAAAATTAAATATGAAAAAAAGGAAAAGAAAATGAAAATGTCAAAGAGTTTTTTTTTTTTGATAAAAAAGTATTTTTTTCGTGTTTTATTTTTCCAGCAAATTTTTTTTTCTTTTTTTTTGTTGCTACTTTTTTATTATTGAAATTTCTTTAAAATGTTTTGATTTTTTCTTACAAAGTAATAATTTTTTAAAAGTTTTTTTATTAAATAATAAAAAATGATTGAAATTGTGCATAAATTAAAAATTATAACATGATTATATTCATTTTCTGGTATAAAATTAATTCTATTATAAAGTAAAATTTATATAATTTTTACCAAATAAGTATTGTATAAAAAATATTCATACATTCTTTTTTTTTTGAAATAAATATTAATCCATTTTTTTCCCTGGACGAAATATAAATTAATTATATGTATAGGAAATGAATGATAAATAAAGAATGTACTCGATAAACATTTTAAGGAAATTATTAATAATGGATGAATGAGTAACTAAGTAATAATTAACGAGTAACAAAAGTACCATCGAAACAATATACACAATAATGTTAAGTATTATTATGAATCGAATAAAAATGATAATTTGATAAGTGGACATTTTTGAATTGAAATTTGCAAATTTTTTTCTTAATTGAAAAGATTTATTTGATTATTTAGTATGCATTGTCAATTTCATTACAAATCAGTATGTTGTAAAAAAAAAAAAAATTATAAAAAAAATCAATAAAAAAAAAGTGGAAAGTATTATGCCTAATGTATAATCATATAGAATAATGATGAATGAGAAATACTATTTGTTTATCAAATTTAAAAATTATAACTATAAAAAAAAGATTATAAAATGTTGATTACAAAATCAAGAAGTCAAAATAACTATAAATTAGTTATAAAATTAATTAATTACAAAATGTTGATTATAAAATTAAGAAAACAAAAAGAGAAAAAAGTGGAAACCATAAAAAGCAAAGCTTTGAAAATTTTG